AGCTTTTCTAGAAAGTAAAGGGGGACATGGGGACAATCAATTGCATACATCGCTGTATATTTTCAAAGTTAAAAATTTTAGTTCTGAGACATTTAAGTTTGCATACACTGTGTTCTTTCAAGTAAGTCTTTCCAAATCTTTGCTTATATAAGCAGTTAGGAACTGAAATAACTCTCAACTAGTTACGCAACGTTGTCTGGTAACCAGGATGTGTTGTTGCCACAACAGCCACAGAGCGCTCTTTCTGCTTCTGCAAGTCTGCTCTGTGTCCATACAGTTTGTCAATACGTTAATGGTTTTCAGGTAGTGTGAAACGGGACAGGCTTCACGAAAGCCAACGGATTTTTTTCTTCCTAAAAAGAAGTGCATGCAAAATTCTCTCCAGAAGAAAACCCGTACACTCTGCTGAAAAATGCAAATCCAAATGGCATTTAGGAAGGAGTGCCTTTTCCAGAGACACAGAAACAGCAGTCCCTTGCACTGATTCAGCTAATCGCTTTTCCTGACCCTACAAGTGAAGACAGGAAAACCATGATTCTTTTTCTTTCAGCAGTTCCTCTGCCAAAAGCAGGCAGGGCCAGGAGATATTCTCAGCTATCCTGAGATTACTCAGGGCTACACCTTACAGTCCCTGGGGAAAGGAGATAGGGAATCCCACAGCTGACATCCAACCTGTCAGGAAATCCTCTTGGCTCTGCCTTCAAAATATATCCAGCATGGGATCACTTACCACCTCCGCCTGCCTCTACGGGCCGGGTCAAGCTGCTGTGGCCTCAAGGCTGAGCATTTCATTAGCTGCCTTCTTAGTGCCTCCCTCAGCCTGTTCTTACACGGCCAGCCAGAGAGCTTGCTAAGGGGCAGGTCACAGCAATCCCTCCTCCACAGAAAAGCCCTTGGGGCTCCTCTGTCACCCTGGACTTGGCTTGTACCTCTGATCCTCTGGGGAGCCCTTTCCAGACAGTTACTTGACTTGCTCCCTTCATCCCTACAGTTCTTTATTCAAATGTCACCCACCTGGCACGTGACTTCTGTTCTTGTTATCTAAAATGGCAGCCTCTTCCTATCCCCTTCCCATCTGTCTTCAGTGCTCTTTTTCTTTAATCTTTGTGTTTTTTGGTTCACTATGCTGTATTTTATTTTAAGTTTGTGCACTGTCTGTTGTCCTGACTACAGTATGGAATCTAGGCTTCTCTGGGGCATCCGTTCTTGTTCTGCTCATTTTTTCAAGCTAAGAATGGTGACTGGCTGAACAGTCATTTAATAAACACTCATGGGGAGATGCCTATGTAGTCGCTACGTGTGCACATCTGAGTCGCCCCCTGCGCCTGCTGAGCTGTGCGGTGTGAAGACCCACAGCTGGCCTGCTGCACTGCACTGTCATGGGACACACCTTCAATGTTTCCAAAGGCCCTACTTACACTTGTTTTTTCTTTTGGATTGATCTACCCAAACCAGACCCATTTCTGTTTGGCTGAGTACTGATCAGATTTTCTTCTAGAGAAGTTCCGTAATGTCTTCTAGCCCATTAACGATCTTTTTGAGAATACTCTCATGAACAACCATGACAGCATTTACTCCTTACGTGGCTTTTTCCATTGGCTCAGGTCAGGCCACCCTGGCGACTGCCTCAGCACCGCACATGACACGTCCCTCTCAGTTTTTGCTCGGATGGCTGGAGCAACCCAGGACTCCTTATTCTTGGGCAGTTTTCTCCATAATGTGACTATGAGTCCTTAGTTCATCATAAAAAATTAATTTGACCTGAAATTCTTTCCCTAATTTACAGAAAGGGACACATTTCACACTCTGCACAGTTGCCAGGAAGAAGGTGAGGACAGGGTCACCTCTGGCCGAGAAGGACTCTGTGTTTGACCATCAAACAACAGCAGTGGGATTACTGCCTGAGTTTTGTCCAGGGATAGGAGAACAATGAAAAGCCAATACATCAAAACGTAAAAATATAATTAATCTAAAATGAAAAGTTTAATGGTCCTAGAGTATCTTAAAATAACTTTTAGTTATAGTTAAGTTAAAACAAAAAACAAAACACACACACACACACACACACACACCCATCCTTTCAGGAGTGCAGAGTGTGGAGGGGGGTTAGGAACATCCCCTAAAGCCACATGACACAGCAATGATAACATTTTGATTTGTTCTTAGGGTGCTAGGGTCCGATCCCAGAGACACTCTACACTGAGCCTGCTCCAGCACAATTCTGGTGATGAATCTTGGGCTGGTTCCAACTAAATGAATGAAAACACTGAAAGGCTCTAATGTAATCTTGAAATAACCTTCAGAAAATTAGTATGGTGTATAATAAGTAACTTAATCAAAATAAAGATTCAGGTACTAGAGAAGATCAGTATTTTTAAAATATGTCTATATGATAGCCAATATGCCCTTTCACAGAAAGTTTTTACACCAAGCTTTAAAAATGAAGGCTGGGAAGGCCAGCAAGATAGCTCAGGAGACTAAGTGCCTGCTCAGGCAAGAGCAGGGACCAGGATTCGATCCCTGGCACATGCTGCACTGGCCCCATCCCTGGGCGCACTGAGCTGGCCACAGAGACCGGGCGTGGGGGCACATGCCTGTTATCTCAGCGCTGGGAAGGCTGAGACAGGAAGATCGCTACCCCTAAGAGCTGCGTGGTGAAACCTTGTACCAAATACTTAGAAGAAGAAAAGCAAATGCTGAAAAGACATCAGCGTGTGGATAAGCTATCTGTATGCTTAGCACTCAAAACCAACTGGAATATAATTGAAACGAGAGTAGAAATAGAAGTGAATAATTTCTTGCACTACATAAAACCTTTTATTCTGAAGTATCTGACAAATGAAGGTTTAAAGGATAATCTCTGTCCTACCTTGATGAAATTAGCTTCTAAGGTACTTTTTTATTAGTCTACAAAAGCCAAAGAAACCCCCCAAAAACTATAAACAAAAATTGATAACAAAAACAAAAACTACCTTTAAAAACTGCTTTTCATCATTGTTTCCAAAATTACTGTGATTTTAGATTGAAGTCACATACAAAGCTCACAGAGCACATATTTCGTGCAACTGTGCTTCATGCTAAAGCAAAACAGATCTTTACCATCATATCTGGTTGATCTGCTGCACAGAAGCAGAAAAAATAGTCAATGTAAAGAGACCACAGATTAGGAAATGCCTCTTCTCTGATGGAAAAGCAAACAGCTAAAAATCTCGGGGCTGGGTAGACAGCTCAGTAAAATAAGTGCTTGCCGATGGTCTCCACAGGAAAGACTCACACAATGACAACCTTCAGAGATGCTCTGAAGCACCTCTGGGCCGGTGGCCTGGGAAAGCCACGCTGGAGGCAACGCTGTAAGCTCCCAGACGGTGGAAGGACCTTCCTGGGCAGGACTTCATCAGCCCAATCCCAGACCCACTTAGAGTAGACAAACTTTAGCTTCCCATGTTTCCTGTTTGCTTGCTTTGTTTTATTTAGTAGCAAGTATACAACTCAAAACTGAGAGCAGAATCTTTCCATGCTATCTAGTGGAACCCATGAAGTCACTGACACTAGACTCGCTTTTGTTAGAAATTGACATTTTCATATAATTTAACCTAATATTATCCCTTTGGGAGATAACTGTATTTCTCAATCTTATTCTGTTTCCCAACACAAGTACTAACCTTATTGTACTTTTTTACACAGAATTGCTACCTTAAAGTCCCACACAACAATATCCCCTGAGTTAGTCCCCTGGATTACAAGAGAGACCTTTGTCCCTTGCCTGCTGACACACTCACCTCCAAGTACTACCTGTCAAGAATACATAAATTTTTCAGAACATGAAGACAAGCAAAGGGTACTAAAAGGGGGAACATGTCCCAAAATGTAGGACAAGAGCCTTTTAGGGATGCTTTCAGGAATTACTCAACAGGAAACACTAAAATTTTGTCTACTGACCACATCACAACGTGTGGCACATCTGATCAACTGCCTATCTTTTTTCTTTTTCTTTTCTTTACAAGGCAAACCCCCAACAAAATGCAAATTTCAGTGTTTGCATTTTGAACATCTATGTCCTGCATGCCTACTTCTAAGCCAAACACTGCAGCCAGTTTTACACACCTAATTAATCTTGAAGTCCCTGGGCTTCCACTCAGGGCCTTTGTACGTTAAACCTCCAGCCTGCCTGGCTGTCATTCTTGAGAGCCTCCTTGCTGAACTGCCCACGCAGGCTCCGACGTGAACGCCGCCTCCCCCAGTGCTAAGGAAGGTCCACGCGTGATGCCATACCCAGCCTCAGTTTTAATACTGGACATCTTAAATGTGGAAATGCTAGTAGGAAGACCACAGAGCAGCTTGAGGTTCTAACTGTCACCAGGACGTCCTAGACTTCCCTTGACAAGGAGACTCTTGGTTATGTATTTTTTTAAATTAAATTCTGAGACAGGGTTTCACTGAATCATTAAGTCCCCCACCCAGGCTGGGCTTGAACGTGCGATTCTCCTGCCTCAGCCTGAGACTGCACTCTTGCGCCGCTGTGACTGGCACACAGCTGACGCTCAGCCTTTCCCGAGAGGAAGGAGCCTTCTCTGCGTAATTTCTGGACAACCCATCAGGATATTAACAAAGGGAGATGAGTGCTCTCCGTGTAGCTACTAATCGGACATCTGGAACTTAAATCTCTGAAAGGTAAAAAGTGGGGCGCCTGTCCTGCGACAGGTCGCAGCGTCACGCGGGTGGTGGCCTCACAGACACGGCAGGCAGCGTGGGTCAGCCCAGCAGGAGCTCACACGCTCGGGAGGAGCTGTGGTGGAAGCTGGCGCTGCTCCCCCTTGTGGCTGTTTGCGTGTATTACAACCATGGCGGCTCAAGCGCTCTACGTGAAAGCGCTAGTTTAGCCCGTATTTCTAACTCCCATAATTTTAGGGAAATAGACGGTGCAAATGATTAAATACCACCTAAATGTCAAAACAAACAAACAAACAAAAAACTAAAACCCCCCAACAAAAACAACTTACTGTGGTAGAATCAAAAGAGATGATGTCCACAACTGGAGGAGAAGAAATCTGCAAATCAATTACCTCACGCTTTGGGTTAATCTGTGTGGATACATAAAGAAAGTTAGTATGTCATTTTTATACGCTAAGAAGCTGGTGATATTTATGAAAAGCTAATCCTAATATATCATGAAGTTAACATATATTGTAACAGTCACTAACATACATACAAACAAAATATTTCTAAAATATTAATCTTCCAAATCTATCAAGGTAAGGAGAGATCATTAAGACAAAGTTCAATATATTGTGGGACTGAAGATTACTTCTACATTAGAAAAACCAATGTGATTTACCTATAAAGAAATATTTAAAGTAAAATATAACTTACCTCAAAAGATACAGAAAAAATCCTAGCCAGTTTATTAAGATAAAAAAGAAATAAGTGTTAAGATGAAAGAACTAGAAAAGATAAAATAAACTGCCTTTATATATTAAAATGCTTACTCATGGAGAAACCCCAAATGTACACACTGCTGACTCTCAGAGCCCGTGTGAGAACACATCAACATTTGGCAGACCTGAAATCACCACTCAGAATCAGCTGCACTTCTGCATCCACCATAGCTAGGAATTTCAGTTTTAAGAAGATTTTTTTATTACATGATATCATAAAAGCTTAAAAATACAACAGAACATACAAAGATATGTAAGACTGTGAGGGGGGAAAAGAAGTCCAAAACTAGAAACCTCCAACAAAGAGCCCTGTACAAATGGAAAACACCTGCAGCAGAAGAAAGCTGGGAACCCGAGCTAGATTTGTACTTGAGCTTCCCACATGGGTCACTGCCTAGCGCGACATAAAAAGGTGAGCAGTGGATAAACAAAAAACTAAATGCCATATGAAAGCTATAGAGTAAACACATAAGAGCAATTTTATAACCAGAGGCTCAGAAAGACAAAACTGCAGAAATAAAATCACTTAAAAAAAAAAAAAAAGCCAAGATATATCTGGTTAAATAAAAACTCAGGACTTTTCTTTAGTAATGGACACCATAAGAAGAACAATTAGATACAGAACAGAGAGAGATGTTATGATCTATAAAATAGAAAAAAGGACAAATATCTCAAATATACCAGAAAAGTCTACAAATGAATGTGAAAAGAAAAGCAGGCGTAACGAAAAATAATATGTAAGTGAAAACCTACCCATTAATCAGTATATGAAGAGATGCTCAGAAATATTTATAATGGGGGCTGGGGAGATAGATAGCTCAGAGGTTTAACTGCCTGCCTGGCAAGCACAAGGTCCTAAGTTTGATCCCTGGTACTGAAAAAAAAAAAAAAAAAAAAAAGTAAATAAAAAAATAATTAATAAATAAAATAAAAATAAATTCATGGGTCAGCCAGATAGCTCAGTGGACAGGGTTCAATCCCTGGCAAGTTGTGCCAGCCCTGCCCTGGGGACATGCTGAGACGGGACTGAGACTGGATGTGGTGGCACGCACCTGTAACCCCAGTGCTTGGGAGGCTGAAAAACAGGGATCGCTGAGTCTGATCTGTGTAGTGAGACCCTGTACTATTTACATAAAAATGAAATATTTATAATGGAAAAAGTAAAAACTAAAGGAAAATATCACTTAAAACCTATTAATGGCAAAAGCTAGAAAATTCAAGGAAGCCAACATTGTTTATAAACTGTTTATGATGGTCAACTCCTTCTAAAACTGGAAATACTGAAATACGTATCAATAGTAAACTAGATTGTAGGAACCACCACTACAGCAAATTCACTGGAATACTACGCAGCAGCGGAAATGAATGAACTGTAGCTCAACATGTGACAGTATAGATTCAAAACCCATACTCGTGCATCTCATGATTGTAGCATTAAGTACACAATAAAGTTAGAGAAAAATATCTTATGTGAAGTTCACAATCACTGATTCAAAGACATACAGAAAAGCGAAGTAATGTTTACCTAGAATGGTACACTCAAAATGTAAAAAATAACATTCAAATGTCATAAATACCAGTAAACAAAAGGCAACGACATAGCAGGCCTTTGTAGCAAGTGCAGGCAGACGCACCTCCAGCAGCAGCCCGAGGGCAGGGCGCAGGCAGCGGGAAGGGGTCCCCTCGCCGCCCGCCCG